AGAGAGAGAGAGAGNNNNGAGAGAGAGAGAGAGAGAGAAACCTTTTTTGTTTTTTGTTCAAAAAAAAGAGAGAGATAAACTTTTTTTTAGATGGGAGAAAGAAGAAGTCAAGAGAGCATGAGAGAGGCATGCCCCCGTTGAGCTTTCCTGAGAGAAGAGAGAGTTTCCAAGTTGAGAGAGAGAAAGTTTCTAAGTGGGATGTGTCCCGTTTGTGGGATGTGAGAGAGAGTGATGAAAATTAGGTGTAAGAGCTAAGGTGTAAAGATAATCTTTTTTATAGTGTTTGAACAAGATTATGGTTTTTTAGGGTTTTTTTTGGCTTGTCATTTATTATAAAATCAATATTTTTGTTTCTATAAATCTAAATTTTTTAAATAAAATATCCAGATATTTAAAAAAATTTAAATAACAATTCTAAAAATCAAATATAATAAAATATAAATAAAATTAATAAATCTTGATGAGAAAATGATCCATATGGTCTAGGAATAAAAATCAACTGGGGACACTCTATGTCCAACCGCGAATTACGAACCATGTATGCTTTCTCAAACTGACCCAGCATTGCTCATGACCCACAGTCTATGCCGAGAATCATTAGTGAGTCACCAAAGTCTAGCCAATAGGCAAGGGGGTCGCAGTCCCAATATATGGATTTCAAGATCCCCTAGGAGACGAAATGCCAAGGTCATCCTAACATTGATGCAATCCATGGCTCGATAATGTGCACGGGGTATCTCTCGCACATGCACACGCTTCACCCTGAAAGGTAGTATGCTTTCACGAAAACGGCTATAGATGTGGATGCCGTGTGATAGAATAAATAACGATGATTTGGTCATGTCCCTCAAGGCCTCTATTACACACAAGAGTCACACAGTCTCTCAGCTTACTCATCCAAACATACTCCGATCTCATCAAAGGATAACCCATATAACTCTCATCAGTACGATTATTAGAGAGCCAAAGAAATATGGATTTTCCCCAACCAGACTGACCTAATACGTCAAGCACGACTAGTATCAGTAAACATTGTTTGCATGGTATGTCCACAAGGGACTACACTCCCACTGAGTTCATGTTTCACTATATAATTCCATTTTATAAGCATTCATAAGGCATTTAATGACTACATACACCCAACAAAATGGAACCTAAGATGTGGGATAATTGTTGGAAGAAAATAATAATAATAATAATAACATATATTACATGATTACATTTAACTAAAACACAAAAAACCCAAAAATGTAAAATAGTGATTCATCCAAATTGTTATGTTGTACTTACTAACGAAATAATAAATAAATAAATAAAAAGAAAAAAGAAAAGAAAAGAAAAAGTGAAATCAATCAAACTTCAGTGTGCCAAAATAAAGCAACAAAATGCTTAAGCAAATCTAAATATTCAAAACTCAGTCTGAATTCCTAGTTGCTTAAACACTTAGTTTTCATTGAATCTCTCTCTAGCTCTTTATAATGACACTTTATGTTTAGAGGATAAAAAAATCATTGATTAGGTAATTTTTTGGAGAATATTTTACAACCTTTTTTACTAGAAAAACTTGAAGGAAATTTTTTTATGGAAATTGTTAAATCAAGATTCTCAATTTACTTTTACTTGTAATGCACTTATCCCTAAAAAAAAATTCAAAGATATTAAATAAATAAAGAGACAAAGTTATAGGGAATAAGGTTTTTTGAAAATAGATAAAAAACATATTTATATCGGTTCCGTTAAAAAAACGTAATTCTTTGAAAATCTTTCGAAAAACTTGATGTTCTTAACGGATTTTAAAAAACTATAGTTATTGTAAAAAATTGTGATTTAAATGGAGATTTGCTAACTATGTGCATGATGGAGCAAATAGACAGTATGCTTATGCGGGAACAGAAAATCATTTGATTATGAACTATAGGATTACGTTAAAATTCTTGGAAACTATTATCATCAACTCTAACGGCCCCACCTTTTTTCTTAGTGACTTCATCCTATGTTGACATAACTAAGCTGGACGCATTAAGATGTTCGATAATAAAGGAACAACAAATGATTTAATTCAACAACCTAATTACAAGCACATATGTTAGTGAAAGTGAAATTGTGAATAGAGATGGGAACTTTAAAGAGATTGTTTACAATGACATGATTTACCTTTAATATATGAACGTCACAATTATTGTTATTTCTTAAATTTCAAAATAAATGACTGTAAAAATATTATTAAATAAATACCAATTTAACATCTAAAAATAATTATAACTTTAATGTACAAAAGAAAAATGAAATCTTTACAAACAATCTCTGCTTATTTGACCGCGATGAAAACTCACACCGTGAAAGTGAAAAAGTTACAGAGAGAGAAAGATAATTTTCAAAGGTGTAGAGAAAGAAAGCTGGAGAGGAAGGAGACAAGAGACAAGTTGCTTAAATGGTGGGCACTGTTTATAATAGAAGGGACCCTACAAAAGGACATGGGTGGATGGCCTCGTGCCACTGTATCCACCCTGCGTTACAACTCCCGTGAACCCACCATTTTTATCGTTGTATGCCAGCCCTCATCACTTTATTGAAAAAGGAGATTTTTTTTTTTTTATTAAAATAAGGGAGGACAAGTGGTATTTCGATTCGGAGAATGGTTTGATAGTGCTGCACTTCATAGCTCATGGAAAATAGGAATTCATCCATGGGAAAACTTTTACATCCATCGTCTATACTTCATAGCTCATGGAAAATAGGAATTCATCCATGGGAAAACTTTTACATCCATCGTCTATTCTTGAACATTATGGTTGTAAAAAAAAAAAGATTTTAAACTTTAAAATTACTTTATGTTAGAATAGATTATCTAGACTCTCCATTTCACCTTAAAATTAAGCGTTCATAGATTCCCAAGATCTGTACTATATTTTGAGTTTCAGATGCGCTGAAATTGATTTATAAATCCATCGTGGAGATTTTTGTCACCGAAAGTACTTTCTGGATCAGGATTTGAGGTGAGGTTTTATTTTGCTTTCATAAAGCATAGGTCTTATAGAAACTTCATCCTTAACCAAAGGGAGAAATTTCTTTTCTTTTAATTTCAAGAGTAAGTGTTTCTCTTGATCAATGATTTGAAGATTATGTCAATTTGAAATCGGCCGAATTGGATCGAGAATGAAAGGTAGAGAATTATCAAATCTGGTTGGAGTTGCATCAATTTATCTAAATTCTAGTCGATCAGCAATCCCCTACACTTGGAGAATTTGGAATCCGATGGCGATTCAGTGCTTGAATACAATTTCTATTATTAAGTAGATGGTGATGATGAAATTTTCTCTCTTGTTCCAAAGAAAACATTCTCTCTTCAATTTTTACAAGGTGATCCATCCCTCACGAGGAGCTTTTTAATGCTAGAGCATAGGAGTAAACAGTGTTTAAAACTCAACTATATGAATCGGGAATATTTGATTTCGATCAGGAATGGTAAGGACCGAATTGGTTTTGAAAGGTAAAGGTCTCCGCCCCTCATAACAACCCCTTTCATAAAAGCTTTTTTTTAAAAAAAAAAAAACTTATTCGGACTGATTCGGATCGACAATCCGACAATAAAACTCATATATTTGAGATGGACGATCTACACCCAATAATCCCTTTACTTTTGAAAATGTAGGAATTTTTCTTATACAAGGGGCCCTTTCTTGTTTTCTCCATAATAAAGCAAGATAGTATTTTTGAAGCCTCTAAAGGGAAAAGATTAAAAATGATTTGTCAAAAGAAAAAAAAAGGGAAAAGATTAAAAATGTAAACCCGGCGAGAGCCTCCCTAAATTTCTGTAAAAAACACGAGTACATGACATTGACTAGAGAGAGAGACCCATCTCTGTCTTCAAAAATAGATCAACTTCTACCAAATAGGAGAGAGAGAGACCCATCTTTGTCTTAAAAAATAGTCTAATTTCTAGAGAGAGAGAGAGAGAGAGAACTACCTCTGTCTTAAAAAATAGTGCCAGTTCTAGAGAGAGAGAGGGAGAGAGTGCCTCTGTTTAGAAAAACAGAGAGAGATTTCTATAAAACAGAATATACACCGACAGAGGCTTCCCCCAAGCATTGTCGAGCGGGCCTAGTTTTCTCTTTCTTTGTTCTGCCTTCTCTCTCTAACATTTTTTTGGAGCACCATTCATGGGAGCACGTTGTGCTGTAATCTCTGTTATAGTGTTGGTGTGCCTTGTGGCCTTAGCAGTGGGCTTAAGTGGCCATGGCGAGGGACTAAGAGGGGTTCACAGGGGGCTCAAGAGGCGCGGACCCACGGTTCGAGCCAACGTGACCGGATGCAACGTCTTTCAGGGGAGCTGGGTCAGAGACGATTCTTACCCTCTCTACGAGTCCTCCAATTGCCCCATTATCGACCCCCAGTTCAATTGTCAGATGAGACCAGACACTGAGTACCTCAAATACAGATGGAGGCCGGCCACCTGTGAACTCCCAAGGTGGGGAAGGACCATCTCTCTCCTTTCTCTCTCTACTCTTTGAAGACATGGATGCTCCCCGTTTGTCTCTCTCTACCTAGCCATTACTCCTTCCCATTACAATTGAGGACCTATCTCTCTCTCTCTAAAAATGTTCATGTTTTTCAGGTTCAATGGACTGTATTTTCTGCTCAAAATGAGCGGCAAAACAATGATGTTGGTGGGGGACTCACTGGGTCGAAATCAATGGCAGTCTCTGATATGCATGCTTTCTGCAGCGGCTCCCCAATCAAAAACCGAGTTTATCCGAGGAGATCCCCTCTCCACATTCAGATTTCTTGTAAGAAGAAAATGTAATTGCTTTATGTCTCTAGGAGCCTTCAATTCTGCAAAATTTTAGAGAGAGAGAGAGAGAGAGGCAAAATGCAATGCTTCTATAGAGCTAACGCACTTTTTTAATGTTTTTTAAGAAATTGTTTTGATAACTAATACTTATTTTTATATTTTTGAAATTTTTTAAAAATTCCTCTATATACAAATGGATTTTATTTTGTAAAATTCATTTTCAATGATTTTATTTTGTAAAATTCATTTTCAACTTTATTTGATTGTGCTCTCGTTAATCATGTTTTAAATATATTTCTTATATTTTTTTAGATTTTTATTTATTTTTCACTGCCAAAGTATTCAGTTAGACCGATTGAACCGCTTCCGGCGCATGTGTGGTTAACCATTCAGTTTTCCATTTTTCCTACATTGGTTCAAACTTCAAAGAGAGAGATTTAGTTTTAATGGGTAGAGAGTTATTTAAGTGAAAGGTATTTTGCAGGATTATGATTTTTCATTGTCATTCTATCGAGCTCCTTATTTGGTGGACATAGTTTCGGTAGGGGGAAAGAGGGTTTTGATGCTTGACTCCATCTCTGGGAATGCATGGAGAGCTGCCGACGTCCTTTCATTTAACTCTGGACATTGGTGGTCTCACAAAGGATCTCTCCAAGGGTTGGGTCACCACTAAAAATCCTATTCTCTCACTTACTTTCTCTCTCTTAATTGCTTTTCTCTCTCTAAATGTTTGAAATGGGAAATGCAGGTGGGATTATATGGAAACTGAAGGTGCGACTTACGCGGACATGGATCGTTTGGTTGCATTTGGGAGAGGGCTCACGACTTGGGCCAATTGGGTCGACTCCAACGTAGACACAACCAGGACTCGAGTCTTCTTCCAATCCATTTCTCCTACCCATTACAAGTGATCTCTCTCTCTCTCTCTCTCTCTCTCTGCACACATTTGTGACATATTTATCACTTTCTCTCTCCACATATCTCCTATTCCTTTTGTTTTTTTAGAAACATATCATCTAAACGATCAAATGGCTAAGAAAATCAATGAAGTTGGATAAATAATTAATTTTGCTAACATAGTGCTTGTCTTTTAAAAAGCTTTTTTCTTCGTACCTCATGATTGAAACATTATGAAATTTTTCATATAGGCAGGTAATTTGACACAATTTAAGCCACTTTATCGAAATGAGTAAAATATATTTGTTGACATGATCTTTTTACTAAGACGTCTTATTATGGGTTTGGAAAAATGAGGACATTTTGATATATTGGCCCCTTTTAATCATCAGAGCCCCAATGACTCAAATACATTTGCTTTATTTTTTGTTACAAATTTGGAGTATGATTTCCTAATCAAAAGATATATTTTAGGTTTGAAACCCAAACTATGTCCTATAGTTGAATCATTTGGCACACTCTCTATTATCAAGACCTCTTCCACCGCCACGATAATTGTCGGGATATCTATTTGTTGATCTATTTCAATATTCTCTTTTCTATTTCTCTTATTGCAACTACAACAAAATAATCATAATATTATAAATTAATTAATTAAACCAAATCCTTATTTTTCCGAGGAGCTTTCTCTTTTTTATTGATATTTTCCTCTATTTTTTTTACTCTCTCTCTCAAAATTACAAACCACGACTAAGAATTGAAGCGAGGACCAGCACCCCTACCTGTGTTCTCTCTAACCCCGCAACGATCCACTTCCAAACCGACCCATGTGAAGTTCTCTCTCATTCCCTTCATAAAATTTTCTCTCTCTCTCTCTCTATGTTTACAATTATCTACAAAATGCCTCTCTTTCTCTCTCATGGCTTAGGTGGCCAAAAACAAAGCACATGGTCAGGTAGTGCGTTTCCCTCAAAAAAACAAGTTTTTTTGGGGCCTTGTCAGGATCTTTGTAAAAAGCACAACAAAAGCTGCTCCATAAACTGATCTGGATTTTGTTGATTGATTGTCAGGGCCCCTCTTTACCCAACTCAGACGCATTCATTCCATTCCACTATCATAAACACCAAGCCAGAACCAACCCCAAAGATCTGTGTTTTTTTTCCTTTTTTGTTCATTTTTGCCTGAAATGGCTAGTCCATGGTCCACCCCTCTCCCATATCTTAAGCCCACTTCCAAAGCCAAGAACCAATCACTCTCCTTCTTTGAAAGCCAAGAATCAAAATCTCTCACTCTTAAGTTTAAGAATCAGACTTTTCAACAAAAGAAATGTCATTGTAAAAGTCCTAATCCAAATTGAAGTGTAGAGAATCGGATCCCAAACTTCTCCCTCTCCTTAAAGTTTTGGATCCAAAGAGAAACCTACCTACAAAGTCAACACTCCTCGCCGTTTCACACTCTCACAACAAGCTAACGTAAGAGCGCTTCCTTATTCAATTTTTGGGAAGGCAAATGTAGGGCTGGTGGGAGCCCAGCCCGGCCCTAGTGCCTATGGGGTCAGCCTAGGCTTAGCCCACCCCTAACCAGGCTGAAGAGGGCCTAGCCCAAGTTGGGACAGGCTAGTTGAGCCAAAAAAAAAAAAGGGTTAAGTGGTGCCTTAAATTAAGATAGTACGATGTAATTTTTTTTATTTTTTTATTAATGACAAAAAAGTAAAAGGTTTTCTTTCTCACTGATTTACTCAAAAAAAATAAATAAATAAAATTGGGCAGCACCACACTGGGCCTAACCCCGCCTTAATCTAAGGTGTGGTTGCCTGGCAATATTTTATGGCCGACACCCTAAGTTTTTAGGCCGGGCCATACACGCTTGCCACCCTGTGAACATTATGATCCAAGTGTCTCCAATCAATCAATGGATGTTGATGGAGTGAGAAAGTAATATACATTTGAATTATGTCACATTGTCATGCTCCCATTCTTTCCCTTCCACCGTCAATCAATTGACCGGACGGTAACAACACCTATGACTATGATATTTTTTTCACTTTCTCCATATTCAATACACAAGTTTTTTCCAAATGTTGGGTAGGAATAAACAAAGTTTGTTTTGAATCCAATATGAACTTGATGAATTTTCATTTTCATCCCAAATAACTTTGCCCTTAGTGAGGGTATGGCTTTTAATAAAATAAGGCATATCAAAATTTACGTAGCCGAATCCAATTAGTTAGTAAACAACTTTGACAATGTTGATAACAAATAAATACCTTCGAGCTTGGAGTTATTGGGGAAATTTATCAAGATACTTATAAAAGATTAATTACTCAGTGCGTTACCCATTTACAACTATTCTAACTCAAGACTATGTTTTATATGGTGATTTTGAAATCAAATGAACTGATATGAGAGAAGTGCTAAGTGTCTATGTTGTAAATAATTTGATAAATTTCCTAGGTAGATAGATTAAATAAGATATGGGATGAAGTGATACCCAAGAGATTCCATTTGATCTTGTTAGTCTTATCTAAGATAATATAATAAAAATGTAATCAATCCTTTCATTTTTTTTTAGGGCGATTGGCCATGGGCCGGAAGTTGCAGATTGAATACAAAATAATTTTTAGGAAAATTATCAGAAATATACATTAATTTTTGCTTAATTGAAAAAAAAAAAACACTTAATTTTATAAATCTCGTCCACATCTTTTTTCTTCAATTTTGATATTTTTTTTTATTAAAATAGCTTTCATAGTAATCGTATTACGGTGATGTCTACGTCATTACATTACTTAACGCACCGTAATAATAGAGCCTTCAAGATAATACGACTACCATGAGGCTATTTTGTTAGAAAAAAAATCAAAATTGAAAAAAAAAGATACAGACGAGATTTATGAAAGTTGATGTTTTTTTTTTTTCAATTACACAAAACATAAAATATATTTTTTATAATTTCTATAATTTTTAATAAATCTAATAAAAACTATTGACGTTTGAAGGACTTCTTTGCCATTATAAAATTAACTGAGGGTATTTTTGTCTAAAAATGACAGCCCACTTGAGTGGCAGGACCCAATGGCCAAGAATTGTTACGGTCAGACCGAGCCAGTGAGCGGGTGGAGCTACCCCGGTGCTTATCCTGATCAGATGAGGGTGGTCCAAGCTGTCCTCAACAAAGTGCAAAATCCCGTATATCTCCTCGACATAACCACACTGTCTCAGCTTAGGAAGGATGGCCACCCCTCTGTCTACAGTGGCGATCTTAGCCCTGACCAGCGAGCAAACCCTGACCGCTCAGCCGACTGCAGTCATTGGTGCTTACCCGGGCTCCCCGACACTTGGAATCAACTCTTCTACACCGCTTTGTTCGCTTGATTCTCTCTCACACACACACACCAGATGCACATTCAATGACCATACTAGACTCTCTCTCTCTCCAACCCTCCCCCCCTCTTTGTCTCTCTCTCTCATTCTTATCAGTTGGGGTAACCCTATGTACACACTGGTGCCTTTCAAAGTTGAAAGTGATTCTGAGAGAGCTGTTGAAATGTACAATAACCTTATCAAGTGTAGTGCAAGTCCCTCTACAATACCTGCTTCTTCCAACTTGAAAGTGATTTACTTTTCTGCCAAATTGAAAGTGAATTATTGAACTTCTACCTTGAATTCTGCGTGTATTGGGGGAATATGTATGCTAACCCCATGTAGGAAACCATGACTCAGGCACGGTACCTAGCCTTGGGCTCGGCCGAGTAACCCAGAGCAAGTTGGGCAGGCACCGGCCAGGCTAAAAAATACTTCAAAGATAAATAATTTATAAATCAAATCCCCACAAATAAGAAAATTATGTTTAAAGTAAAATTAAACAAAAAACATTAAAAAGTAGCGAAAAAATAGATTTTGAAATATCAAGTTGTGACCAGGAATATTTTAGAAATAATTCAAAAAAGAAAGAAAAAT